CCTTTCCTTTCATTCTCTGTACTGTTTGACAATTCAATCCACAAGCTGTTATATGGGGACATGCATGGTAAATACATGCACCAGTAGGGCTTGGGGGATGTAGTACGGGTCCAGATTGGAGTGTAGGAGGCTGAACAGGATATAGATGGTATGAGGTGGGGTGGGGGTATAGAGGTTTGAGACTCAAATGGAATGAGAATATCACTACAGATGGGTGGCCTGGTATGGGCTGTCACAGCCTGAGAGTAATAAGAAGGGTGTAGACATGGCTTAGAAGAGTGTTAGGGCCTAGAGTAGGCCCTTTAGTGTCCACTTAAAAGGTGTCAGAGCCGAGCTGGTGAAGGTGTCTATGGAGTTGTTCAAAATCAGAGCCTGAAGGAGAAAGTAGGAACAGGGTGAGGACAGCTGTAGAAGGGCAGTCTAATGTAGTATGTCAGATCCAAAGTAGTGTAAGCAGGACATCCACATGAGGGAAGGGCCAGCAGCAATAATGGAAGGGCGGCTGCATATTTCAGGACTGATCAAATAACTTATTTGGGATAATGGGAGCCAGATTTCTCAATGTTGGAAAACAGAGTTACAAATATGGAAAGAGAAAACTAAAAGGAATCCTGTAGTATTGGATTAAAATTAGAGGTATCTGTGTGAACTCAAGGTTTTCAATAGATAGAGAAATAAGTACATTCTCTAATTTTGTCCACCGAGAGGACCTGAAACATTAACACCTCATTAGCAATGAGCACACCAAGGACATAGGTTTTGGTTTTTAAATACCAATCTCTATTAACAGGAATCATAGTTCCTCGGCAAAATGTCTAATGCTAGGGCAAAGTATAAGATAAGCCTGGAATATCTTGTGCCAGAAGGCAAGCAAGTGTTCAAATAATGGTGGGGCATGTCCAAAGGGCACAGAAGCCAATTTGGAGGGGCTCCCACAGGCCAAATATGGGACAATTTCAACATCAAAATAATAATGTATTACAACAAATTGGACGAAATAGGAAACCATGAGTCAATGCTAATAGAAATAAATAATGTGATGAAGAATGGGATATTGACATAATCTCAAAGTACCTCCCTACAAAATACTTATACATTACAAAGGAGGAAAAAAATAACTTTATAGTAGAGAAGCCTAGGGGATACCACCTTAAAAAAATCAAAGTTAAAATTATCAATACTAAGCTAATTGAAATCCCACGTCTCCTGAAGGAATGCAATGAGAACACACCACCTCTTCCAGGATATTCCTGCCAAAGATTCACAACCTGAATCTAATTATTAGGAAACATCAGGCAAACTCAAATTGAGGCATCTTCTATACAATAACACCTAGAATCTTCCAAATATCAAGGTTATGAAAGTTAAAGACAGAAATTATTCTAGGTTGAAGGAGACTAAGAGACATGACCACTAAATGCAATGCATGAATCTGAACTAATTTAAAGATTATTAAATGTTAAGGAAAATTAGCAACAAAGAATAAATAAGACTATTATAATTGTTTAGGCAAAAGATGAGGGTAGTAGAGGTAGAATTGGTAAAAAGTGTTTGGATTTTGAATATATTTTAAACTTAAAATGACAAGACTTTCCGACTTTTTTCCTGAGCACCTGATTAATAATAGTGCGATTTAAAGAGATGGGGGAAAGTGTGGGAAGTGGGAAATATTGAGGGTAGGGAATGAAGAGTTCTGTTTTGGACACATTTTTCAGTTATCTATTGCTGCATAACACACCACCCCAAAATTTAATGGCTTAAAATAACAACAATATATTTGTTCATAATTCTACAAATTGGGCTGGATTTAGCTTCCTAGTTTTTCTAATGGCCCATTCTAGGATTATCTGGAAATTTCTAAAACCTCAACTGTGGCTAGATGATTCCAGATGACTTCACACACATATCTGGTGCCTTACCTAGCATGAACAAACTAGCTAGGAGCTGGCTGGGGTTCTCTCTTCATGTTATCTTCAGCAAGGCAACTGGACATCTTTACATTGTGGCTCAGGGCTCCCAAGAGAACAAAAGTGGAAGCATTCTGTTCACCAGGCAAGTCACAAGGCCAGCCCAGATTCAAAGAGAGGAAATATTCTCCACCTCTTGATGGAGGAAGTGGCATACATGCACAGGGTAAAAAATCTTGGTAGATAATCTACCACAAATATGTTAAGTTTGAGGGACTTATTAGGAGTTGAAGTTGGAAATTGGATAGAGGAGTTTGGTGATCAGGGAATTCTTCTGGACTGGTTATATAAATATGGGAATTATTAGCAAATATATATATATACGTGTATATATATACGTATATATATACACGTATATATGTATACATATACGTGTATATATATATATATACACGTATATATATATTTAAAACCATGGACCTCATAAAAAGCACCTAAAAATGGAGGGTTGATAGAAAAGAGAAGAAGGCCCAGGGCTGAGCCTGAGCTTTCACATATAAAGGTAAGACAGAGAAGAAGGCAACAGAAGAAATCGAAAGGGCCCTATGAGATAGTAAGAGAATGAAAGTGCATGATCTAGTGAAAGATGGGGGGCAAAGTGTTTCAAGAAACAGGCCTATCTTGTTAAAAGGTCAAGTAAGAAGTGGCCCTTGGACTTGGTTCCATGGAGGCTGTTGTGACTTAGATATCAGGGATTCATGTTATTCAAATTGGGTACCCCAAAATCAGAGGCACTCAAGAGTAGTCCAGTTTTAGAAGCCATAGGATAAATGTGGTTATCTTCTTAAAGTGTCAGTTTTACTCAATGATAACTAATTTAAAATATTTTGTATATTACAATAAAAGCTACATTAGGGACTAGTATAACATTTGCATACATTTTCAAGACATACTGTATCCCCCCAAAATGTTATGCTCTGGGGCTTTGGGTTACACTGTATGAACTTGACCACTGGAAGGGCTGAAGACTGAGGTCAGCCATGTGGGAATCAACTATATGTACATGACCAAGCCCCAATAAAAACTCAGGACATCCAGGCTCAGATGAGCTTCCCTGTTTGGCAACACTCCATGTATATTGTCACATATCTTTGCTGCAAGAAGTTAGTAGTCTACAACTTCACTGGAAGCTCTGCATGTGGAAGTCTCTGGGACTCTGCCCCATGCACCTCTTCTCTTGACTGACTTTAAGCTGTATCTTTTTTCTGTAATAAACCATAGCCATGAGTAAAATAGCTTTCAGTGAGTTTTATGAGTCCTACCAAATCAAACCTGAGGTGTTTGGGGGACCCACAAACTTGCAATTGGTGTCAAGTGAGGATGGGCTCCCAAACTTTGCACTTTGGGACCATCCTTTTTCTCTATCAACATAATACTTGGATAGAAAAAAAATCAAAACACACTTTCTATACCTACATCCTCATAAATTACAAAATATTTATTGATTTATCTATTTAGTGACAGGCACTGAGCTGGGTACTAGGAATATAGGAATGAACAAAGCACAATCCAACTCCTGCCCTCAAGAAGCTCACAGGTATTGTGCTATAGCAGCAGTCCCCAGACTTTTTGGCACCAGGAACCCCTGCTCCTATGAGAATCTAATGATCTAAAGTGGAGCTGAGGTGGTGATGCTAGCACTGGGGAGCTGCTACAAATACAGATGAAGCTTCACTTGCTTGCCTGCCACTCACCTCCTGCTGTATGGCCTGGTTCCTAACAGGCCACAGAACAGTGCCAGTCTGTAGCCAGGGGGTTGAGTATCCCTGTGCAATAGGACTAGGAAAGAGGAGTGAATAAAACAGACCCCCAGAGATGAATGTGTTGTGTAAATAAGGAGGCATCCTTAAGTGGGGTGTGTGAATGTTTACACTGATGCCAACTTCATCACTTTCATTTGGCTATCATTCCCTCTTAGTTCAGGAGAGGAGTCAAGGATTTTGTTTCCCTGGGGACTAGGCACATGGTTATGTCATTTACCAAGAAGAAACGCAAATGCAGAAGCAAGTTTTATGGAAAAACAAGTTATTCATCCTTTAAATATGAGTTTGAGACCTAAGCAGGATGTCCACATAGAAAGTTTAAGAGCCAGGTGGAGGTTTGGTCCAGAGGTTGGAGGAGAAAGATTGCAGAGCCACAGATTTGAGAGTCACAAGAATAAGGTAGATAATGCCATCAAAAAGGGTCAGGCTGATGTTTAACTTTGTAACACCCTCTACAAACTTAATATCCTGAGAAGACAATAATATGCTGAAAAACATCAAGTTTAAGGACTATACAGAGCAAAGCAGGCATGAAAGGAGGCTGACAATGAGAAATCAGAGAGTTTGTAGGACCCCAGAGTGGTGGGATGCAATCCAGGAGGAATTTCATCAAAGAAGTTGCTCAGAGTGCACGGGAATGAGGTCAACCAGGCGAGGATTTTGTTTGTGACTTGTTGAGTGCACCACTCTTAGAGGTCTTGCATGACGACTGAGGGAAGCACACTAATTTTTTTTTTAATAGCTGCAGCAGGATAGGGAAGAAATCCTGGTCTCTCTGGGCAAAAGCTAAAGTGACGTGGCTCTTCTGTGCCTTTAATGAATTCTTACTGAATGCTGAAAGTTTGGTTAGGACCACTGACTCAGGACCTATTTCTTCTCAGGGCACCTCCTGAATGAACAAAAGAAGCTCCTCTTTGGGAATGTGCGCGGAATCGCCCACAGCTGTCCTGCAGCGGGGTAGCAGTAGCTCAGCACAGCCCCCAGAGGGCGCAGGGCCTGAGATTATCTGCGAGTCTTGGGGCGGGGCCAACCGTGGGGCGGGACCTGGAACAACTTCCGGCTTCCGGTGGAGCCCTCGGCCTTCTCGCGTAGCCGTCATGGCCTCCGAAGAGAAAGATCCTCTGAGCTATTTCGCGGCTTATGGGAGCAGCAGCTCAGGCTCCTCGGGCGAGGAGGATAACAGTGAGCCGGAGGAGACGAGTCGCAGGGCTTCGGATCCGACGAAGTCGGCAGGCGGCTGCGGAAACAATACGGAGAAGCGGCTGCCGGGACCCGACGAACTATTCCGGAGCGTGACGCGCCCGGCCTTTCTCTACAATCCGCTCAACAAACAGATAGACTGGGAAAGGCACGTCGTCAAGGCGCCTGAGGAGGTGAGGTTTCCTACCCCGTTTATCGATCTTGGTCCCAGCCTCCGCCCCCTTCCTTCTGAGCTGCCTCCTGGAGGCCGGCTGTCCGTTCCGCCACACACAGTCACCCCCTGCAGGATGCTGTACCACCTTCTCCCATCTCCAGCCCTGGGGAGCCCGGGCCCCCTCCCCCAGCCTGGTGGGTGTCAGATCCGACCCGCAGCCCCCGCCCACTTGTGAGGAGACCCAAACCTCCGCGCTCGGTGCCCTGACCTTGTGCGGTGAGGACTAACGGTGGTGACTCCCCCCGCCCCCCCCGCTGCAGCTTCTCCCCGAGACCCCTTCCCTTTGAAGTCGAAGTGCCTGCTGTGCTGCCTCCAAGACAGTGTCTGCTGCAGCCTCCTGAAGGGGTCAGCCTTGGCGTAGTATCTCTGAGACTGGATTCTTCTTTGGTAATTAAAAGTTATTAGCTTTATTCGTATAGGGAACCCTTTGGCTTTTCATTTAACAGTATTGTGATTTTGATGGAAAAATATATCTTTATACCTTAAAAGAAGTCAGCCTGAATGATAAGCGAACGGCAGGGAGGTGCATGTGCCCATACCGATTACAGGAACCTCGGTTCGTCACAGTGCCTCTTAATGTGTTTGCTTAACAGCCTCCAAAAGAATTCAAAATATGGAAGTCAAACTATGTACCACCTCCGGAGACCTACACTACGGAGAAGAAACCTCCCCCTCCAGAGCTGGATATGGCAATAAAATGGTCTAACGTATATGAGGACAATGGTGATGATGCCCCACAGAACGTTAAGAAAGCTAGGCTTCTACCGGAAGGGGAGGAGACAGTGGAATCAGGTAAGGAGAGTCAGACTCTGGTGGTAATAGCTTTTGGTCCCTATGGTGAGTTCAAAAAGATCGAGATAGTCAAGGAAATTTAAATCTAGCGAGTTAGCAGACTGATTACGCTGGTCTTTGAATACTTTTTGCTGTGTTTTTTGGGAAAGATAGTATGTAGTCAGCTTCGAAGCTATGATATCTCAACCAGTAGTAGTTGCTATATTTTAGTGAAAGATCATAAATTATCCAGGCTTTAAGGTGAAATCTGATATCTCAACCAGTAAGTAGTATATGTAGTATATGGTGTCTTATTATTAGAACAGTACAGTTAATTATTAGTCTTGTGATTACAGCTGCAAAGTGCTAAAGGTTTCATTTTGTATTAAAACAGTTGTGCTTTAGAGCCAAAATTAGTGTTACAAAAAGAATTAAACTGAGTATTACTATGTAGTAATTAAAAATAATAATAGGAGAATAATGGCTTGGTTGTCTTGCCTTCGTTTATGTAACTTAATCACTTACTTGGACTATAAGTAATCAGTAATCTCTGCTTTTACATGTTTATCCCTCACTTCCATCCTTCACACTGCAGCCAGTGTTCACTTTCTAAAAGTCACACCTGACTATGAAACTCACCTGCTTAACACCTTTCACCAACAGCATAGAGTCAAAGCCTTTTACAATAGGCCCTGCATTTCTCTCCACCCTCACTTCACATGACCCCCTTTCTAGCACTTTAAGATCTTAAAATTCAAAACCGAATAGACCATGCCATTTTATAGTTCCATGCCTTTCAATATATGTTGTACCTTGGTCTGGAATGTTCTTTCCTCCCTCTTTGGCTGGCAGACTCATTCATCCTTCAAAATCGAACTCAAGAAGAGAAAAATTTCAGATATCATCTCCCTCAAATTGTTTCTCTGTACCTTGTGTGTTCTAATGCTGTTGGTTGCACTTACCACCTTTTATGTGATTAGTTGTTTGTAAGTCTATCTCTTTTATGAAAATGAGTTCCTTAAACAGCAGAGTCCAGGTCTTATTTATGTTTGTATCACAGTTTGTAATATACATCGTAAGTATTCAGTGGACAGTTGCAGAATTGGACTATTTTGGACTGTCAGTTTAATGAAAGGGTGTACCATTTTTGTTGAACAGATTTCTGATCTTACCATAAAACAAGGGCTACCTACTTAGCTCCTTTTGCAATTATGAAGAGAGTTTTGTTTGTTTGAAGAGAAAGGGTAACAACTAACTAGTAATTACTCCAGTTTTGATTCTACTTGGCTTTTCATTTATTTCACTGATTTCCCAATGCAGATTAGAAGTCAGTAATGAAGGAAGACACATCTTCTGTAAATGATATCTTTTTGGAGATGCCAAATGAAGGGGACATTTAAAATACTTCATATTGTGTTATATGTTATGTAATTAATAAAAAGCTCTTTTGCATAAGTTCTCTTTAATCCTTACAACACCTTGTTGGAAGAGGATAGGGAAGTGTGGAAATGAGAGCTCATATGACTTGTCTGAGGTCAGAAAACAAGAAAATGGCAAGCTCTAAAATAGGTACCTTTACAAACTCAGGTCTTTAAGTGGAAATGATGCCTTTTTAAACTGGGATTCACACTTGATGTGTTCAAGCTAGAGTGCTTGAGAACTATGCTGTAAGAAGAATGGCACTAAGACCACTAGAGTTGATATTCTTACTAGTGGGTGCCATACACTGATGCTCTCCTTTCTTCCTCTCTGAGAAAGTCTAGGATCATATATCCAGGACAGACAAGTGGAAAGAATTACCTTTTTTTTTTTCCAGGTCGTTTATTGAGTTCAAATAGAAGAACTTCCAAATATGTGGCAAACATTATCACTATTACCATACATAATTTCTGACCTTTTGCTCATATGACAGTCCTCCATCAGAAAGTGGTAGCAATAGCAAAAAAAAACAAAAGGATCCAGCAACATTCAACCAGTTTAAAGCTGGATCTGAAGATTAGATGATAATTCTGAAATCTTTAATAACCATAAGTACCTACCTTTTTTGAAGTGATTTTGCCATTTCAGACTCGTATAGCATGTTCACAAAGTCACTGTAAAATCGATTTTTCTGACATCTTTTTTACTCTCCATTTTTTTAAATTTGTAAAATATCTTGTATTAGAAACCCCACGTTCTTAAATTATCTAAATTTTTAGATTATCAGATTACTTCACTTTTACTTTTCCTTCCCATTTTCTGCCCCTTTGTCTTTTTAGCCAGTTAACTTCTTCCAGATATTTTAAAGGAGGAGGTGGGAAAGATTGAAAACTCTTCATTGAGTCATGCTACTTTTTAGCACCTCTTGTTTAGTGGTTGTAAATGTAGATCAGCGATACTTAGATATTAATTATAGCTTTATTAACATGTAATTAATCATGAAAGCTTAGCTAAAGTAGCTAATGCTTTTTTTAATTTAGAAAGTTTGTATTAATAATTTAAATTTATTTATCTCCAGTGATATGAAATCCATAATAGAGCTTTCCTTACTAGTGTATCTGTAGTACATGGCACAGAGTAGAAACTCAACGTTTCTGGGTTCAGGTGTTTTTTGTTTTCCTGCTCTAGTTTTTAAGGTAATGCCTTGTTATATCGCTAGGTGGCATTAGTTCTTCAGTTAAAACCACTGATAAGTTATTTTTCCAAACTTAGGAATTTGTATTTTTGTTGTTATTCAGTAAATTTACTTTTAACAGATTAAAAGCAGAAGTATCTTAAGATCGTCTTTTTAATATATGTTAACAGTGGATTTTCTAGTAGATTTAGAAAGTAATTTTAATTTTTTATTAGTACTGAAAATAATCTCAAAAGTCAAGCATGATGATAATTAAATTCTAATTACAAAATAAAGGCCTTGGTTTGTTCGAGCTCTATGTCATATAGTTGGTTTATAGAGCCAGTATTTTTGTGTATACATGATAAACTACTGATTAAAACTTTGTTTTGTAAATTCCTGGGATGATTCATTGATCTGAATTGTCTTTTATCTTACTGTCTACATAAGTCCACAGTGCTTAATGAAATATATGAATAACATCACCATGCTGTGTTCAAAGATGAAGATGCATCACCTGCTGTTGATACTAATTATTGTTCATATCAACAAAAGAGATATTCCGCTTATGGTACAGTTAGCAGAAAGAAATTGAAGGTTTATGGTTTCCTCCATAGTTTATGATCTGATATAAGTGCCTTTCCAAATTTGTTAATATGATGGACTCTTTCAACATCAAAATAATTTATAGGCCACCATATGATAGTTGTTAAACTATGAGTATCTATTGATTGAGAAAATAAAGTCAAAACTACAATGAATTCAGTAATGTGCTTAAATTTATGTTTTATAAATCATAACATCTTCTACATGTTATTTATTACATCTACATGAAGTTCTTAAAATAAAACCATACATTTGTTCAGTGAGGTGGGAAATTAGCAGCTGGTCTGTGCTACCCTGTGTTTCATTGAAACATGTAGTTGGATTTTTTTTTAATTGAATAAAAGGGTCAACTTTTTCAGGTTTGACATTTTTATAAATTGGAAATTTTCTGTGGCTACAGACACTAATAACATTCTGAAGTTTAAAAGGACATAGATTTAGTGTAAGGTTTTTCTCTATCCTCCCACTTCAAAATATAAAGGAGGGAAGATGTCTGTTTTTCTGTTGCCATTGGAAAATTCTCCTAGGAATGGAGGGGAAGATGGTGGGAGGAATAGAACTAACTACACAGGCCAAAATTGAAAATGCAGTTTCAGTGAAACGTCTACTTGCAAGTTACTTTTTTAACTACAATCTATAAGGTGCATAAGATAGGGGAGTTGTTTTTGCGGGGAGAGAAAGCTGATTGGAAAGAAAAGAACAACTGTTAGCCACTTAAATAATGTTTTGGTTAAGTTGCTATCTTTTTTTTTTTTTAATAACTGTGTTCCATTCGTACAAAGTATAGATTATATATTTAAATATATACAGTGTGTGTTATAGAATATTTGGAAATAGCTTTTTATTTTAAGCTACCTTAATATAGCACTAAAGGGTCACTGAATTTTGCATGACATTACAGTTGAAAAAAATATATTTTTACTGAACTTTAAAATCAGAGTTCTAAAAGTTAATTTGTGCTTAATGTTTAACATTCTTTTTAAATTACTGATTGAAACTCTTCCTTTCCTGTTTAAAGATGATGAAAAAGATGAGCATACTTCTAAAAAGCGCAAAGTAGAACCAGGAGAACCAATAAAGAAGAAAAAGTAGAAAACAAATAAGAATTTTTGGACTGTAAAACTTACTGATTTTTTTTTTGGCAGATAAGTTGATATTGTAAATTATTATGAAACAACATCTCCATGAAAGTACATGTTAACTAACTAATAAGTATTGCTGCAGGAACTTTCCACTGTGGAATTCACTTTTTATTTAAAACTTGTATGTATTTAAAACAAATGGTGACTTGTGATTGTGAAATTGATATCATTTGGAAGCATTCTTGCTATCACAAAATTAGTGACGTGCTTTAAGAGTTTTGTCACATGTTGACTTGTCAGTGTTCTATGAACCTTTTATAAAGGAATATATTTTTAAAGTAAATATATTGTAATGTCCTGTGAACTCGTAGGGTGCTTTTCAACAGTGTTTGTACAGTGTAAATAGATCATGGAAATAAAATTACTTATTCAACATTGCCATTACTGTAGAACATTAACATTTGAATATTTGTCTTTGACAGATACCCTCTTTGCCATGTGATGTTTTAGTAGTAGGTAATTCCATTTAGGGAGTGCCTCCTGTGATCCCAGTGCTTTGTGTATTTATATACATTATCTCTGATCCCCAAACAGCCTAGTACAGTAGGTATTAGTAGTCTCATTTCACAATAATAAAGAGATTAATTTATCCAAGATTACACAGCTAGTGAGCAGTGAATTTGGGATTTAACTCACAACCCTTGAACTCTAAAATCATACTAAACCACCTATCTACTAATCAAAAGTTAGGAATTGTAATTGGCATTTCTTCCAGGTACCCTTCTATGGTAGTGGAGATCCTTTTGTCACCTGATCATTTATAATACTGCATGTATCATATATGCCTCATATTATGAAAATGCATTAATTTTCCTGTTAAATAGTAAGTTTTCCTGAAGATAGGATCTTCTACAAAGTGTTGCCAGATATCACAGATAAAAGTATGGAATGTGTAGTTAAGTTGGAATTTTAGATAAATAACATTTTAGTATATGTAATATTTAAAACATACTAAAAATTCATTCATCTGAAATTCAGATTTAACAAAGCATCTTGTATTTTATTTGACAACCCTACATGTTTTCTCTATGCAGCTCCTATTTTAATGCTTTGCATATAGTAATAATCAAGAAAAATTAGTGAGGTTGTAGTCATGAAGATAATCTTTGATTTGACTTATAAAGTCCAAAATGTAGTGCCATTATTTGTAACATTTTGAACAATAAAAAAGAAAATGTGTACTGCATCTGTCTTTTTTGATTCTTAACGCCTTTAAGAGACAAGAGTTAATTACAGGACACTATATACATTTCTTGTGTATGAAATATGAAAAAGATATTAGTCTTTGGGTATTAAGAAAAACCTTAGTCCAATTATTTTATCCCATCCTAGATGCCAGCATTTGAAAAACTATAAAATCTAGTTAGTTGGGAACATGATCCAGTAGCTTAAAATTTGTAAAAGTCATTAAAAGCGTGCCACCCATGGTATTCTGTGGAATGAAGAAGGAATGTAACGGTATAATGGTTTCCCATATATCAAACTCACAAAAACCAATTCTGCAGCTGCTAATCTAGTAAACCTAGTCTAACTCTAGGTTTACTAATGTATGAATCCTAATATTGAAGTAATTAATAAAGCGAGAAAGGTTGAAGTCTTTGTATGTGAATAATTTGAAGGGCTTTGGTATCATATATTAAAGCATCAACTGGTAAAGCATGACCCCAGTGTGACACCAAACCAAACAAATGAATTATTATTATGAGGCTGTGATTCTGAAATCAAGAAATAGTCTGGATACATGTATTGGTAAAGCAGATATCTCAGAAGTTACTGAAATATTACAAGATTAAAATATTAACATGAAAGCAAACCATAGCCCCACACACAAAAGCCACTATCTGAAAAATCTTTTCAACCTCCCTTTACCACCAATTGGTTCACCTCCTAGCTCATACCAATTAGTTTAATACATAGAACAAAAGCTCGCTGCAGCAGTCCCCAGTGGTGCTCTGAGCCTCATTTCTAGAAGGTAACAGAATAGAGGAATAACAAATACTGCTTTTTTGGGAAGAGTGTATGTTTTGATGTTTTAGGACAGGTAGTGGCTACGTTTGTAGAGTTATTAAGCAACTGCTGGAGATATATACCTAAGAAGGAGGTGAAATATTTTGGAACCATCTCAGCCATCGGTAGCTTGGATTTCTTGTCAAAATATGGCCAGATAATGAAAGAGAAAATGAACTTACATGTAGATTGTTTCACCTTCCACAGAAATATTCTTGGTTGGAAAGTGGACTTTCATGTCACTTTCTATATCTATTGCTACATTAGAGAATGAATTCTTTTCTTTTCAGAGATATCTTGGGAACGTGTTTAAGTGTCCATGTGGATACTAAGGTAAGGAGCTGTTTGGTAGTGAAAACCCAGTGAAGAATCTTATAAAAATATATATAGGTAAGGAAAATCCTCATCAAAATTGCTTCCTTTTTAGAGAATCAAATAGGTATTTCTGATTGTATCCTCATCTTTAGAATAAAGAAGTTAAGTCATATCAGGTATGAAGGATTTCCTTTCGAACAAAACTAAAGTTTGAGAAAAGAACTAAGCATTTGTGGGCCATATTTTAAAATTCAAAGAGTAAATTTATAGAGTTTTATGGAAAACATTCTAATTGGAATCAAAGAACATTACTGAGAAAATTAACAGTTTTTTAGCCATTGCAAACTTGCAACTTTCTAATCTTAATTCTTAATGCTCTGTAGTGCTTTTGAGTACACACAGACCAATCACATAGTAACATTTTATTTTTCAAAAGCCTAATGAGGTAGGTTTTATCATTTCCAAATTAGAGAATGAAATCTAGGCCCAAAAAGATGAAGCAGATGCACCATAAGTTAGCTTCAGAGCTCAGACTACGATCTATTCCATGCAAGTTTTATGGAGCGCTTTTTGGTGCAAAGTATTATGTTAGGAACAAAGGAGCTATCTTCATTTTAGCAAAATCATGTTGGTAACCATGGGGAGGGTGGATAGATACATAGAGTACAAGTTGACTCAAAAAGATCCAAGTGTAGTAGAGTGACAACTGTCCAAATGGACTAAGGCATTGGGAAGAGACAAGTATGTGAGAGACTGATAGTGTTCGGTTGGATATAATGGCTAAGACTCAGGTTTTCTTTTATTGGAAATTATATTTTAAATTAAAATATGAAAGACTAATGCAGGTCTGGACACAACCTACATATAAAATATCAGTTACCACGTGATTAAGTTAGATACAAGGCCCTACTGGAAATTTTTGAAAAAAGTAATTATTCTTACAGGTAATCTGAATTTAACAACTATTTGTTAAGTCAAAAACCATTTAGGTTAAAAACTTTGAAATGTATCATTGGCGATATTTTGGATTTTAGAGTTTTGTATACATAACAGAACTGCTCCTCTGTCTTACCCCTCCACTATCACTTAGTACAGAAGTTCTAGACAGTTCTACAAAAAAATGTGTTAAATTCTCAGCAATGTTTTGGACTTTTCATTAAATTCTAAAGCTTTCTCTCTTCATCTCCTTCCACTTAGTTTTCCCAATTTGAAACATCACATTTGTGTTTTAATGCAGAAAAGAAGATACCAAGAATCACTTGTATGTATGGTTCCCAGAGGAGGCACTTTTTGCCTGTTTTGTTAATTCAATAGAAAAGTGCCTGACATATTATAGGCACTCAATATAACTGCTAAATATTGATGGTAAACTGAATTCCTCACTCACAGCTTAGGGATGATCTTCCAGAAACCTGTATTTTCAGTTTTTTGGGCCAGTAAATCTAGATAATTTAAACCAGTTTAAGTTTTCTGTCATTTTCAGTCAAAAACATCCTAATTGATGTGAAACTCTTTTTATTCCTTTGGTTTCTTCCAGGGCCCCATACTACGTTGGTTCTCTTCTCTGTTTATTTTCTCTGGCTCCTCCTCTTCCAACTGCCCTTGAATGGCAGTGCAGCCTATGTTGTTTCCTTCTCATTCTCCACACTGGTTATTGATTCCAGCCAAATTTCACCCCCAGACTTGTGTATCCAA